GCAGCCGGCGTCCATCCCGCCGGGAGGGGCCCTGGGGCGCAGCAGACCCTCCTGTCTGCCCGCGGCCCCCTCGCAGTGGGTCTCAGTGGATCCGCCTGTTCTGCTCCCCTCTGTTTCTGGGGAGTCCCCTCACCCCAGCCCTCTTGTGCATAATAACTAAGTCTTAAAAGAAATAACCCCAAGGCAAGCCACTCAGTGGCCACTCCCGCCGCCAGGCTGGGTGTCCCCCACAGCTGGCCCCCAGGGAGCACCGGCACCAGCCGCCATCCCCGGGGACCAAATGGCGCCGGCGCCTTTACAAAGAGCCCGGAGCTCCCTGCGGGGTGCAGAACTGGGAGCCCCGGGAGGGGCCAGCGCAGCCCCCGCCTGGGCCCCAGCCAGGCGCTGGCTCTGGGCTCAGGTCTGGCTTTACACCCCGAGGCTGCATGGCCGGGCCGCCTGCGCCCAGCCCCAGCCAGGGGGGTCTGACGGCAGGACGCAGGCCAGCACCCTGGGGTGGGCGGGGCAGAAGGACGGGCGGGGTGACCCCAGGCTCCACCTCCCTCTCACACCCCGCCCCCAGGCCCCGTGAGCCCTGGGCCCGGGCAGAGGCGTCTGCAGGTGAGGGCCAGCCCCACCCACGCGCTCCAGGCGGCCACCCTGGGTGGCCGGACGCCTGCGGGGAGGCCCGGCTCGCCCCCCTGGGGCTCCCCAAAAGGAGGTTTCTTCCGCCAACTCTTGTCTCTCGAGTTTCAGCTCAGGCAGCCAGCGCCCAGGAAAAGCCGCTACCGTTTCTCCGCTGCCGCTGCCGGGCAGTGGCTCTGGGGAGGGCGGGGCCCTGGGGGGAGGCGCGGGGTGGAGGGGCGCGCGCCGGCTCTGCTGGGCCCTGGCCGGGCTCCAGGCTGCGGAACACGAGACAAGAGGTGGGCGGGGGCGGCGCGCTGCCCGGCGAGGACGCTGCCAAGGAAGCCGGCTGTCCCCGGCTGCTTCCTGTGCCGCCCGCCCAGGCCAAGGTGGGGCCATCTGCCCAAGTGGGCACAGAGAAAACATCTTCGCTGTGCACAAGATTGGCTTCCGAGGGGAGGCCGTGCGC